TTTTCCTATCCCTAGGTGCTATAATTTTGGTAAAAATAAAGGTGAAATGATTGGGCTGTTCCTACTCTGTACTTTTAAATCAAGTGTATCTCGCTCAATCTGAGTGATGTGAGGGTGGGGGATACAAGATAATATCTGGATATTTTCTGCCCTTTGTTAAACTAAAGGTTCCACTTCTTTGAATACTGCACACTTCCAGGGGAGGATTCTAATTGGCAAAGAATTTTACAAGGTGGTCACTCATGAATTGATACAAATAACGGAAAAGGGAGGGCCAGAGGAAACTGAGGAGAAAGCAGGGTTCCTATATTGCATCTGTGTTGTGCCTCCTTGGTGTTCCTTGGCCCCTCAAGATCTCTGGCCAAACTGAGACTTCACCTTTGAGAGGAAAAGGTCAGCTGCCAAGTGGTATCAGATGACATGACATCATTCCTGTCAACACTTACTCTAAGGAAATATCCAAACAGAAAGATTTCAGCATAAGCACAGAAGAATATTTCAAATGTAAAACAATAAAATATTTAGAGCTGTTATTTTCCTGGGAGCAAAAAGATTCTGAATTTACAGGGGGAAACATAAACTAGAAGTGGAAAAGTGTTTAGATTGAACACCAGCAAGAATTTCTAACCCTGACAGTGTTACAGACTTGGGAATAGAATATGGAGGGGTGGTGGAGGATCTTTCCTGAAGGTTGTTTATGCTTGATGCTTTAGGTGCAGCTCTGTCTTCAAAGTGGAATATGATCTTGCACATTTTCCCAATTTCTCTCACAACCTAAGATTTTATTCTCTTAGCTTCACAGGAAACTCTGGCTGGGGAACAACAGCGAGGGATCCTTTCATGCTTTGGAGATGAAAGTAAAGCATGAAGAAATGAGTTCTCAAGAAGAGGCTGACAATGAGATGGGCTTGGAAGGAGCCTCTGAGCAGCTGAGACAGCAGGAGGCCCATTTTAAAGAATTATGAGAAGGAAAATACACACAGGAAATCAACCCTGAATAGTCACTGGAAGGACTTTCGCTGAAGTTCCAATATGTTGGCCACCAGATGTGAAGAGCCAACTCATTGGAAAAGACCCTGATGCTGGGAAAGATGGAGGGCAGGAGAAAAGGGTGATAGAGGACAAGATGGTTGGATGGCATCACCAACTCAATGGACATGAGTGTGAGCAAACTCCGGGAGATGGTGAAGGACAGGGAAGCCTAGTGTGCTGTAGTTTATGAGATGGAAAGAGTCAGACACAACTTACTGACTCAACAATGACAACAAATACACACAGGAAAATAAAACTGAAAGGGGTAGAAAGTAAAATGTCAGTTTTTCGGGGTTTAGAATTATAGGGACTTTTCTTTTTCTTCCTTTTACTCATATTTATTTTTTCTATGCCAAAGGTTTTATTTTGAAAGTAATATGGCTTTTTTCACTGGAATAATCTAGTGTGAAATTAGCAACCCCAAAGCATGTTGGGAACGAGGGGAATATTTTGGCCTATTTCAACACTACCCTGAGTGACCTGTTAAATGTCTATAGTCTTCTCTGTCTATTGGTGAAAACAACTATGGTATAGTTGACCAATAATATTGGTTTCAACTCAAGTGACAAAAACATCTTCCCATTTAAGCATCATAATATTTAGCATTAAATGGTGAATACTCCAGCCTATACTAAAACTTTGAGGAGGGACTTCCCTGTAGTTCAGATGGTAAAGAATCTGTCTGCAGTGCAGGAGATCCAGGTTTGATCCCTGGGTCAAAAAGCAGAATGGCAACCCACTCCAATAGTCTTGTCTGGAGAATTCCATGGACAGAGGAGCCTGGTGGGCTACAGTTCATAGGGGTCACAAAGAGAGTTGGACACGACTTAGTGACTAACCCTACCCTACATTACAAAATAATGGGCTTGTGGTGCCCAATTAAGCTGAAGAGAAGGCCATAGATAACTGCTGCTAACTGGTTCTTCTTTCATAGCTCTTTCCCCAAAGATGCTCTATCAAAATAGTTCAGGGTTCAATAAGTTTTAAAATAAAATTCTGACTTCCCTGTAGCTCAAATGGTAAAGAACTTGTTAAAGAACTTGCCTGGGATGCAGGAGACCAGGATTCAATGCCTGGGTCAGGAAGACCCTCTGGAGAAGGGAATGGCAATCCACTCCAGTATTCTTGCCTGGAGAATTCCATGGACAGAGAAGCCTGGCAGGCTACAGTTCATGGGGTTGCAAAGAGTTGGACACGACTGAGCAACTAGCACATACATATATATAGTTTTTTAAATTATATACTCTTGTAAAAGGCCATTTGTGAAAGCTGTGATGAAGCCACTTATAAAGAATCTGCAGCCTTTTGGGCAATAACTACCTTCCATAAGGTGATATTAGTCATTAAGCTAATCATAAACAAACTTTCCTAAGTAGAGTCTAAGAATTATTTTCAGGCATCATATATACCCACAAATTATACAGAGTGTTTTTTATTCAAAGATCCAATTTCAAGGGTATTATTAGTAAGTACACATCCTAGTTAAACAGCTCATTGATATAGACTAAGTGATATTTTACATAATATGTTTCTCAGCATATCAATTATAATACTTTACAGAAAATGTCTGATATGTAAAAGACTAGATTTCCTTAAAATGGAAGAGTATTAATGGCAAGGTTCAAGTTGAAATTTATTGATCAATTAGTTGGAGATTAACACATACTACTTGACATAAGATATACAGATTACTTTTTTTCACATTTTACTACATACTTAAGTGCATTTTTCTTACAACACCTAGAGGTTTTAGTTAGAATCAAGAATAGTGACCTAAATATACTCAGGTTGGAATGATTGTTTCTATATTTGATGATGGTTATTTGTATATTATTTTACCTGATTTACTCTGTTACTCAGCTTTAGATATAAATTTATGGGTTCTTGACAGCTATTGATTAAAAGTCCCTAGCTTTGTAAGATTTTATTATCACAAAACATGATGAAACATGATTGTAATTTTTTAACATAGAAATATAATTATTAGAAAAAACTAATGATCTCCAGTAAAATTTTAAACAAATGAGACATTAAACTTCCAAAAGGGGTGGTGGTGATATTCTATATTTTTAATAGTCTGCATTAATGAAAAATATCACTACATACTTTGCTATTTATGGACTCATTAAATTTTGATCTAAATTATAGCAATTAAAAACTTCAGGAAATTTGGGATTTCCTTTGTGGCTCAGAGATAAAGAATCTTCCTGCCAATGCAGGAGATGCAGGTTCAATCCCTGGGCTCGGAAGATCCCACATGCTACAGAGGGGCTCTCGGAAACAAGAGAAATCACTGTTGTGAGAAACCCTCACTCTGCAACTAAAGAGCAGCCTCTGCCCACCACAGCCAGAGAAAAGTGTGCCCAGCAATGGAGACCCAGCACAGCTAAAAACAAATAAATTTTTAAAAATGTCAGGAAATTTAAAAAAGTGTTAGAACCATACATAATTCTGCTATCCAAACACTGTCATTATTCATTTTTAAAAACAATACCTATTATGAAATTTTGGAGATCAAAGAAGCCTTGCTGATAACAACACAAAATTCATTAAGTATTCTATTTTCTAGAAATAAGCTTGGTGTTATTTCAATCTCTTGATAACCTATGAGACAAGTAGTCTTGTGTCATTTCACAGAGGAGAACAGGCTTGCCCATGCACATTCATTAGCAAGAGAAGGTGAAAGGCTTTGACTGGGGTCTATCTTAAGCCAGCTGAGTCCCCAATTTTACCAGCTGGGAAAAAAAGTCATAGAGAAGTTAGTGAGTTGCTTATGTCACTAGAGCTAGTTTTGGCGTAACCTAGCCTTGATTATCATTTTTATAACCCTCTACAAGTGAAGTTGCTCAGTCATGTCTGACTTTTTGTGACCCCATGGACTGTAGCCCACCAGGCTCCTCCACCCATGGAATTTTCTAGGCCAGAGTACTGCAGTGGGTTGCCACGTCCTTCTCCAGTGGATCTTCCTGACCCAGGGATCGAACCTGGGTCTCCTGCATTGCAGGCAGATGCTTTACCCTCTCTTATTAACAGTCAGTGTTGACTTTAAACCTGCTTCATGTGCTCAGTCTCTCAGTTGTGTCCGACTCTGTGACCCCATGGAGTGTAGCCCACCAAGCTCCTCTGTCCACTGGGTTCTCCAGGCAAGAATACTGGAGTGGGTTGCCATTTCCTGCTCCAAACCTGCTTCATGCCCCAGGTTTAATCAGTTTAATACCATTCCATCCCTAGTCTGCCCATACCAGTAGCTCTCAACTTTCCCTGAGAAAATACTGGGGGTTTAAAAATTATACTGCCTGGGTCCAGATTTTTGGATTCAATTGATCAGAGGTGCAGCATGGGATACAATCTTTCCAGGCGATTCTACTGTGTAGCTATAGTTGAGAAGCACTGGTCTACACCAAGAATATCAGGTTATCAACTACTTTATATTCCAAAATTCTTTAGATTTTTTTCACCTTCTAGTATTTCTGGGGTCATGTGATTAAAGTGTTTTCATGATTTGTATACCTAAAAGGAACACATAAACATAAATATGCCATTCAGTTAAATCTCTGGACAAATACCATGTTTAAAAGAAGAGTAAATAAAGCATCAGGTTGAATTGGAATATTGAATTTCAAGCACTAATCATGCACCTAATTATACTAAATGTAATTTAATCCATGATATAGTTTTCCTCTTCTAGTGCTTATGTCAATTAAGGAAATGTGGTCCCACTTAAGTATGTCACTTGGGCAATTTGTAATTTGAAGCAAAGATACTCTTTGGGTCTATGAATTTATAAGAAACAGACCAATATGGACAAGGTTATATTCTCTAGCATTGCTTCCAGATTGCTTGAGTGAACCACAGAATTTGTGTCTGTACTTGTGTTTGACTTAGAATGAAGTTAAGAACCAGAACTAATTCCTGCCATTAACATTTTCTGAGGACTGAGAAACCTGTCCAGCAGCAAGTGTGCTTACCTGTGCAAAGGGAGTCACAATCAGGTCATCTCCATGTCTGAAAAAGAAACCAAATCCCATATTAGATGACACTGGTCACTCTAGGACCACTTTCAAGCCATATTAAATAGTATGTTTCACATTCACAATCCCCAAAGAGAATTACAGTAATTCCATCCTTATTCTTCAACACATTTCCTTCTCAGTCACAAGGGTGAAGATGTGTCTTCTGGGATGTTAACTATTTTCCAATTCCCTGGGTGAAAAGAGGGGCTTCTTGATCATCAGCCAAGGTCACTGACAGTTATTAAACACACAGGATACACAACAGTAGAAATGGAGTTCCAGCAGCAGGACCTGAGCTTACTCTTGGCTGCTTTATTATAGGTATTACTGAGGGGCACCCTGGAAGGAGCCAGCAAAGGCAGGGACTCTGGTGAGAGGTCCCTGGACCATCTAACACTGGAAGGTGCTGAGCATCACTGTGTGTGAGCCTTGGATGGGCTCGGAACTGTAGATGACACGGGGGCTGCATCAGACGCTAATAAAAACCCAGTGGAACTTTTCAACTGACTCAGGTCCCAGCCGCCGTAGTTACTGGGGAATGTTACCCTGTGTGTGCTGTTGCTATAGCGACCTGAGTGACACAGTGCCGAGGATGCAGGGGCAAGGTGTCAGCATGACGTCTCTTGGAGGGACAGGGAGAGGCAAGGAAAGTTGTGCAACAGTCTACTTGGAAGAAAGTGAGAAACCCGGGCCCAGAGTTCTTTCGTGGTATTTCTTAGCATGAACAGTTCGTGAGAAGGATTTCCAAAATCTCCACGGGGTATTTCTTGATCTAGCTAGCTGGAGCCCTTTAATCAAAAGGGAATGGAATTATTCTACACAGAAAGCTTCCGGACATGACCCTGAGAACACTGCAGCTGAACGGTTCGCTCACTCATGAACAATTCTGGAAAGGGCTTCAGTGACCTAAAACAACACTCGGGAAATATGCTTCAGCACTAGTGGCATATGGATGACGTTAGTAAACGGATTGTTACCAATAACTAGACCAGTTGTTTCAGTCATCATTGAGTTCCACAGAGATCTTCAAATTCAAGGTGTGGGAAAAATAAAGCAGAAAAGGGATAGTACATGCTTTTAAGGAAATATGTGTTATTTTGCACCCTCTTCATTTCACGATTATGTTTTTGAGGGGCATCTGCTCTTTGGAGAGATTACGCAGACAGCCAAAATTTATCTCATACAAAATCTAGATACTTTTCAAAGATACAGTCTTTGCTTCCATTTTATTCTTTATAACTGCCTGACTACCAAGTAAATTTCCTAAGAACTTAGTCACTTTGACGAAGGCACAGCATCATTCAAATATTAATTCCTGGAAATAAGTCTTTTAATTTTTCACATGAATTACACTGGATTTGAATCACTCTAAACTGAAAAGCATGTGAGCATATGTAAAAACACTTAATTCTATCTTTGGTTATATTTCACTCCCAAGCACTGAAAATAATTTATTTAGAATATATAATATTTAGGGTAATTTATCAGTCTTGCTTCCCTTTCCCTGTCAAAGCATAAAGGAAGTTACAGTTTTAGTGATGGAGATATTTCACTCTTTTGACTTGACCAGAAATTGTTTTAGCCAAATATCTCGACTGTCTCATTTTAGTCAGAGTAGAATTATTTCTAGCATTTCAGTGACAAATGCCCTTAATAAATAGCTAAACTTTTCTTTTCAAAATTATGTAAGGTTTACATTATCTCTGAATATATAATGGATGCATAATTTAAAAAAATCTTTGTCTCAGTCTTTGTCGGTCACCTGCTCTGGTTAATATGAGCTGAACCAGAGTCACCCACTCTGATCCCTGGGGCTGGGGCAGCCTCTCCCCTTCCTCAGAGACAAAGCCTGCTGAGTTCTGAGCCAGCGCTACTGGAGGCAGGGGAATGTGAGGCTCAATAGGGCACTCTTGAATATTCTGTTTTTCCAGAGAGGAGCGACCACAGAGTCAAGAACCACTCCCTGTGACTTTGGCCATCCTCCTGCTACTTTTGCAGCATTCACTACAGCACTTTATTTTCTACCCTCATTCTTTCTGTAATAAGAAGCCAGCAACATTGACAAGAAACCGAAAGAGAGAAATCAAAAAGCAAACCCTCACAGAGACTTCACTGGGATCCATAAACTATTCAAGTACTTAAATGAGGAAAAGCTTATTGCCTTCTTAACAAATTAAGTTCAACCAACAGCAGCACCTGAAAATAGAGCTTTGTAAACTAGTTCATTTCAAGATTGTGTGTGAAACACACGGGCCAATGACCTTTCCGCACTATTATGACCAACCCAGAAGAAAAAGGAGATGCAGTTAATTAGAAGAACATTTATACTTTATTGTGTAAAGACTTCTAATCCTATAAAGCTAAAAAGGATTAGTGGCCACAAAGTATCTGCTGCTTCTGAGTATCATGCATCGCAAATTTCAGGATGATACGTGGCTGGATGAACTAGTGCTTTGAAGAGGGGCCACGGGATGAGGCTTATTTTCTGAATATTGTGTAAACTTTTTGATCTTCCATGCTTCACTGTCTCTGGCTATAAAACCAGAAAGTTGTTCTCTGAAGTTTGTCAATAGGATTAGGGAATTGATAAACATACAGACAATGGTATTTTGAAATCCTAGTGTCTTTCTTCATTTACACTTGAAACTATCACCTACGCATAATGTCACCCTTGATCCTTCTCTTTTAGAATTAGAAACTAATTAGACAACAAGTATGTTCTATTTTTAATATGTACATTAAAATGTTCCTGGGAACCCAACATAAAAAGTGCATAAAAAGCATAAAAATGCTTCTGGGAGCCCTGTTTGACAACACCCAAGAATTAGCCACAGGAGGAACTTTTCTATTCACTACTCTTAACTCCCATGTTCACAGAAGTACAGACATAGAAAACAAACAAACAAATATGTAATACAATATACCTGATCTTTTAAAAAGCTAATATACGCATATACCAAATATAAGACTCATATCAACTACAGAAACTTTGGGAAATACAGAAAAACCTTGAGTCACCCAAAGATAACTGTTGATAACACTTTCCTTCTGGATATGTGAGTACATGTATGTTATATAGGATTTTTATAGATTTCTTATATGATTTCTTACATAATTAGAATCCTACTCTAATTCCACTTTATAGCTTGTTTTTAACACTAAACTTGTTGAATCATGAAAAATTTTACATGCCTTTATACTTCTTTTTTCATTTAGCAAAGTGTTTTATTCAAAAGCTCCTCAGCACCATCTAGCTGTCAGAAAGAATGGATGATATCCGCTTTTTGTGCCCACTCAACTCCCAATTCCAGAAGCAGAAGTTGAACCATTTGGCGAGAGATTCTTCTAATGATTATAATTCAGATCATGATAAGGTTTTGGTTGTTCTTTCATTTGCTTTCTCTAAACCTCTACTTAACCATGACTCAAGAAGGGTACCCTAATATTTGAGCTCTCAAAACTGCATGGTGCCTGCCAGGATCACTGTCCCTCCTTGGCAGCAGTCAATGAATTCAGTTTTTTTCAAGGTAAATAGAATTATGTGCCTCCAATAGCCAGGAGTGGGAGGTTGATCAAAACACATGATTGCTTCCAATTGTTTTGTACAATGGGAAATGCCTTTATACTTTTAAATGGGGTTTCCCCGATGGATAGGAGACATGGCTTTGAGCCCTCAGTTAGGAAGATCCCTAAAGGAGGAAATGACAACCCACTTCAGTATTCTTGCCTGATTTTTCAGGGTAGCCTGGTGGACTACAGTCTAAACAAGGTCACAAGAAGTCAGACACGACTGAGTGACTAAGCACACATACTTTTTAAATGGGCTTTCCAGGTGGCTCAGTGGTAAAGAATCTGCCTGCCAATATAGGAGAAGCAGGAGATCCCCTGGAAGAGGAAATGGCTACCCATTTCAGTACACTTGCCTGGGAAACCCCATGGACAGAGGAGCCTGGTGGGCTATAGTCCATGGGGTCACAAAGAGTTGGTCACAACTGAGCACACAGGCATACTTTTAAACAATTTCTGACGACTGTAGCCTAAGTTTAGTAATCTCTAAACTTTTCAAGCAGATGTATTTCTAAATGTATTGAAATGTAACTGCTAATTCTATTTTAAAATAAAATAGATTCTAATAATTGTACAAATTACTCAAATGTATTTTGGTTCATTCATTCCTTTAAAAACAACCTAGTAGATGCTTATTTTGATAAAATGTTCACAAGACAAAGCCAAATATTAAAATACTTGAGAAATAGTGTTCATTGTGTACTAATTAAAGGTGATACTGAATATTTCATGTTGCTATCCTTTTTAAAAAATTGAAGTATAGCTGATTTATGTTAGGTCAGATTTAGGTGTACAGCACAGTGTGTTGCTACCCTTTTTCATTAAAATCATGAAACTATGGTTTCAGACAATAAAAATATTCTGGAAACTTGGCAACTAAGACATTTTGTGAAACCAAATCATATTTTTCCATAGGTACCATTTTTTAATGATTTGCTTTTCCAAAAAAATAATGTTGTTCTCTGAGAAAATATGAATGCCTCATTTAAGAATATAACAAATCTTTTAAAATTACTTATGAAGGAGGTATTATGAATTCCATAAATTCCTAGTAGACACAATACTACTGAAACAAAATAACCTAGATGCCCATCAGCAGACGAATGGATAAGGAAGCTGTGGTACATATACACCATGGAATATTACTCAGCCGTTAAAAAGAATTCATTTGAATCAGTTCTAATGAGATGGATGAAACTGGAGCCCATTATACAGAGTGAAGAAAGCCAGAAAGATAAAGAACATTACAGCATACTAACACATATATATGGAATTTAGAAAGACGGTAATGATACCCTATATGCAAAACAGAAAAAGAGACACAGATGTACAGAACAGACTTTTGGACTCTGTGGGAGAAGGCAAGGGTGGGATGTTTCGAGAGAACAGCATGTATATTATCTAGGGTGAAACAGATCACCAGCC